ATTTAACACGAAGGCTGGACTCGAACCGTTGAAGCGTCGACCATTTCTGGCCGGCAACTTTCAGCGTCATTAAGCCGCTGCGCCACCGCGTCCCCGAAAGGGGGTTATGTCCAACATATATTTCATAGAATCTTAGAATTGCAGAGTTGGAAGGCATCACATTGATCATCCAGGCCTAGCCTTTGCAATGTGCAAGAAAACCAGTTAAAGCAGGGTTCCTCAACCTTGGCAACTTTAAGATAGGTGGACTTCAATTCCCAGAATTCTGGAAGTTGAAGTCTACCCTTCTTAAAATTGCCAAGGTTGAGGAACCCTGAGTTAAAGTATCCATGAGAGGTGGCTGTCCTGCCTCTTCTTAAAAACCTCCAGAAATGGAGAATTCATAATCTCCCTAGATAGGCTATACCACTGTTGTGCAGATCTTACCTTCAGGAAATTTTTCCCTTAACTAGTTAAAAGCTCATGTTACATTTAGGATATACCCAATGGCTACAGGTTTTTTCCTCCCATTTTACAATTAATGGTACATTTTTATAGGCTCACCCTTGCAAGGAAAGGAGATTCAATATTTGTCTTTCAAATTGTATTTGTTTTATCTTTACCCCATCATCATCACTACCTCTACATACAGAGAGAGTTGAGTAAAAACTCCATTGCTGTCAACAAGGCTCTTTCCTTAAAGGTTTGTAACCACATAAGAAGGCAATTATTGAGGGAAAAAAAATCACTGCTGTGGAAGGATGTTGTGAGCATCTCTCTCCCATGTGTATATGGGAAGCATTAAAAATAGGACCTAAATTCAGGCTTGCCACCTAATCCTTACTTCAAGCAATTAATCTTCATTTAGGATTAAAAGGTATTGCTCTTTTGTTAGTAAGGAACACAATTTATTATTTTTGCTTTACACTGAGAGCTGGGCAAAGCAGGGCTCTGATTTAAACAGATAGGATACAGGAGAAAATGGTGTCTCTGCTTTCACCTGTCTTCAGTTTGATGGCCTGGGTTAATCCCTCTGATAAAGAAACAGTCTCCTTTATTACATGCCCACCAAAGATGGTAAAAAGTCCTTTCTTGTTGTTCACATTTCCAACATATATTTGAAACAAAATCTGAAAATGAAATTTTGGACTTAAATACATATATTAATCCAGAAGATTTTGAAGGTTAATATACAGTCAAAACCAGAGACTTTTCTTTTGGGACTGATGGATAAACAATTGGAAAAAGCTCATGGACCTTCGTTTCTATATATGATAACTGCAGCTAGATTTATATATGCTCAACGCTGAAAAGATTCAACATTACCTACAATGGAAGAATGGATGGTGAAGTTGATGGAGTTAACTGAGATGGCAAAATTGACAGTTTTGCTTAGAGGAAAAAGCATTGATTAACTTTAATGCCAATTGGAAACTCCTTTTGGACTTTTTGCAGGAAACAGGAAAAAAATGAAAAGTATGATTCATGGATTTGATGATTAAATTAATAGATTATATAAAATATGTATGTTAAGATGTAATTTTAGAGTAAGAGGTTATTATATGATTCATTTATATTTGTTGTATAAGAAGTTGGAAGTTATTTTTGTATTTCCTTTTTCCTCTTTTTCTTCTCTATTTTCTACCACTTTTGTTTTATTTCTTTATTTCTAACTTTCTTGCTGTCTACTCTTCTTCTTCACTATTAGTTCTTGTTAGTTTTTATTATTTTGCTTTTTAAAAGCTAATAAAGTCCTTAAAAAAAAAAACCCAACAGTCTCCTTTGAGGTGATTTCATGGACACACCCCTTTGGGTAATTTGTGGTACTGTGATTACTGTTGTTGTTTTATGTTCTAGCTGGGCTTCCTGCATTATGGGATTTTGAGCTGCTTTATTATTATTTTAAGGCTTTCAGTGTTTTCTTTAAGAGGTTTTGTTTTGTTTTGTTTTTAACCATTGCACAATGGCTTTTACTGTAATTTTCAAATTGTTTGTATCCAAGTCTTGGGCTTGCTTTTATCAGTGAAAAGTAGTTTGCAATCCCAACAAATCTGGACAGCTAGAATATTTAAAAGCTCATTCTTTTCCTGATAGGCAGTGGCACCTGTGTGTGTGTGTGTGCACACGCGTGCGCACACGTGTGAAAT